GTTAATGTTATGTGCCATAAAATCTAGAATCTACTGATTGACATCTTTATACTATAAAAGGTGCGATCTTCAATGTCCATTTTTTTGGTAAATTCCCTGACTGTAGTAGTCCAAATTTAACAATTTTGATATTATTTGATTCTTCTCGATAAAATGATTTAAATAGTATCAAAAATACTAAAATTTAATTACTAGTTAGCAAGATATTTATAAAAAATATTTTATAGCACAGTTCTGCATAAATATATTTAAAGTTCTATACAGAACTATGCTACAAAATATTTTTTATAAATATCTTAACAACTAGTGATTAGATTGTAGTATTTTAATACTATTTAAACTATCTCATTAAAACAAATTAAATAGTATCAAAATTGTTAAATTTGGACCACTAGTTGACAAGTTATATAAATATTTATAAAAATTACTTAAATACAATTATTTTGTGATATAGTAATCAAAACTTAACAATTTTGATACTATTCGAATTGTCTCATTAAGATAAATCAAATTAAAAAATATTATAAAATTTATTATTTTTTCTAAAGTAGCAGATCTTTGCAAATCTGCATTATATTTATTTTTCTGATATACAGAATTAAGACTGATTTTCAAAAAACTTATAAAGCAAAAATTATCAATAATTTTTTATATTTTTTTCTATATCTTTGTCACTTCTGCTCTTCTTGTTTAAGTTTTTTAAAAAATTAATTTTTTATAATCTTTTTTTTTTTTAAAGCTATGAGATTAGTTTTTTAATAGCTTTTATATATTTTTAATTTTTTATTTTTGCAAATTTGTATATAAAGGGTTAGTAAAAAGAATTGAAATTTTTTTTTTAATTTTTTTTTAATTTAATAATTCTTTCTTATTTATTTTAATTAATACACACAAATAGAAATAAAATAAATCAGCATTTTACTGATTTTAGATAAATATTTAAATAAATATTAATAAATATACTAATTCAAATCTGATTCAACAATATTTAATAAAATATTATTTGCTTATTGCTTGCAATTGATGACTTAAATAAATACCAAATAAACTCTATAAAGCTTTTGTAATTATATAGAAGGATTTTTAATAATAAATAATTATATAGTAACTAAATATTGTGTGATTGTATAGAGTTTGTAACTGTAAAGAAGAATAACTGTATTAAAGATTCTATATAAACCAATCTGATCAAACAAAAACTCAAACCTATTATTTTTAAATCCAAGTTTATTAAATTCAATATTAGGCAGTATTGTATATAATTTTGATGCAGAAAAATAGCAATTGTACCTTTCCCATCAAATGTGGCAGTTTCCTAGACTTACCATAAAACCGCGAAATAAATTATCATTGATATTATTTCGAAAGTTGGATCCTTTAAATAACACCCATGGAATCTCGAGAAAACATTCGTCTCAAAGTGGGCACATAGGCTCGTTCAGAGCAACACACGGATGTGCATTATTTTGTGGTTTTTACGGTATAGGCATTCACAATGCTTCTCTCAAAATTATGTTAATTGTCAAGCACGAAGAATACATTGAACTTGAAAAGCTAATAAAGATATAAGGCATGTCCAAACTTATTCAACGCAAATTCTCTTGAAGGATTGCCAAAAAAATCCAAAGACGACAACAAAAATGGTTTAAATTTCAACTTTAAACTTAAAATAATGTATCTTGTTCACGTAAATATTCACCAATATCAGCTTGGTGAAAAACGACGATATCAGTAGGTTTTAGCTTCCGTATTTCTACCGTAGAGCGCGCGGTAACACCAAAACCCTACCGACAAAAAATAAATAAAAAATAAAATAAAATAAAACTGAACAAAAGGTATTAAATAATTACCAAAGGTATATCAGACATTGAATATATTATAACACCTTGATGTTCGGGTGTATCTTCAGTAATGCGTCCGAGATGTGCCTTTAAAATATGATTTCCGTATAAAAATGAACCTTCACCGTTTGGTTTTATCCATAGTTTATACTTGATTAACAAGTAATTATCATCTGGTTAATACTAAGTAATATCTGATTATATTTGAATTATGACAATACCTTTGCATACTGAGCAAGATAGTCCAAAGCAGTAATATGAAGTTTGAACTTTTTTGATTTGGTAAATTTCCCAAAGCATACGCCCAAAGAAGCTAATTGATCACGGCCTATACTAACTGCTTGACGCAACATTGAGTCGCTTGAAATACAAGTAAAATTACGTCGTTTTATTAGATTCATAAAAAGCATTCAGATTCTATTAATATCGCAACTCAAAGACCCTTCTTAAACATTAATTCCTCTTACCTCACATAATAAACCTTATCATTATGTAATCTAAAATAATAAGTTTCGTCAGACCGATCAATTAAATGCAACACATTGTTTCCGATACTAGATTAATTAAAAAGAATAGATCATTATACTAGTAAAAATGAATATCTCAATAAGGAAAAGAAACTTGCTATTTTGTTAATTTTTCAAAAAACACTTTGGTTTCGTCTTCTGTCAAGGGCCTCATTTGTAACTTTTTAAGATTATCATATATTGATAATGCAAATTATTTATCGACCGTTGTTACTGATCAACACTACAGCCTAAAATTACACAGGTACAAGAGGCCAAGGATTCATTCTATAAATAGATTGCTTTGTTTCAACGCGCTCAAACTAACCTTTGAAAATTTACTATATTCTACAAAACATTTACTGTAAGAATCAGTTTTATAAACTTTTGCCTTCGAGTTTCCAGGCTCATTTTGTTAATGTTCTGAACTATTATGTAGCATTTCATCATGGAATATGCACAAAAACTTTTTGGAAAAAAGATTAGCCCGGATGAAATGGTAACATTCTTTCTTCCTTTTTGCATAAACTCAGCGGTTCTTACGAACTGCGGAACTCATGCTAAAAGTAAGCCGTAATTGTCGGTTCATTACAGTTTGAGGGAGAATCTGCACTTGAATGATAATATTTCTTTTGTTTTTGAATCCTTTTTTGTTGTAACAAAAACTGACCTGAAATTCTTATTTTCATAATAAGGTAAAAAAATGGCAGCGGGATATTAGAACACAACAACGCGTACTTGAACGTCAAATAAAGGAATTTGGTGATGTAGAAAAAAAAACCACAAATCTTTTAAAGCAAAACGCAAAAAAAAATGATGCGAATGCCTGTAAAATTTTTGCGAAAGAACTGGTAAGAACACGACGCCAGATAGTAAGGTTGCATACTAGTAAAGCACAATTGAATTCGATCCAATTACAACTTCAACATCAACTAGGTAAGCAAGACTTAAAATTTAATATTATAATCAATAAACCATATGTTCATGTATATTATTTAATTTAGCTACTCTGAAAATTACTGGATCGCTAAAAAAAAGCGTTGAAGTTATGAAAATGGTTAATGGGTTAGCAAAGCTACCAGAGATATCGAAAGGAATGCAAGAACTATCAATGGAAATGACAAAAGTATATTATCAGCTATTTTGAGATAAGCTTTAAAATAGCGGAAATGGGCGTCATTTTATCACAGCCCGAATCAAGATTAATTCGGGACGTACTCAAAATAATGAATAGATGCCCATTACACAGTAACTCTTGATATAATGGGTAATTAGTTTATTAATAAATCCATTATATTTATTATGGTGTGATCTAGACCTTGATCCGTTGTATCAAGATTTACATAGTATCCGTTATACCAAAATTCCTTTATATTGAGACATTGTGCATGTCGAGGTTTTTATACACGCGTAGCGTTTTTTGATATTAACTACTATATCAATATATTGGTTAGGCCGGTATCATTGATGAAATGATAGAAGACACATTTGAATCATTTGAAGATAGTGATATTGAAGAGGAGGCAGAGGAAGAAGTCAATAAAGTTCTTTTTGAACTCACTGATGGTATGTACCCATTTATTCTATTTTAAAAGCTTTCATTGATAATAATTATATTTTTTTTTCTTGAAGGTTTAATTGGTGAAGCCGGTGAAGTCGGTGCTCCACTAGATGTAACTACAATTTTTGTTATATTATTGTGTTCCGTTTCCTTTACTGTTGTAACTATTTATGTTAATAAATTTTTGCGATTGAAATTACAGCTAAACGTTGAAGAGGAAGAGGAAGAACCGGAACTTAACGAAATGCAAGCCAGGCTACAAGCATTAAAATCGTGATAAGCAAATACAGTCATCCTCCCATACAATCACACAGTTGGGCACATAGCAAATTTTTTTCAACATGTGCTTATATAGGAGTTGTGCTTATATGGAGGTGTTTTTCTTAT